TCTGCATCATTCAATAATTTGGCCAGAGAATCTTTCAATAACTAAAGCCGAGGCTTGAATTTTTTCTTCAGTTTCCCCAGCTTGAGAAATGCTGAGCATGTTCTTCCTTTTTGGTTTTCTGATTCCAGATCTTTGCACATTTTGTTGTAATATTTTGCTTTATCGTCTCGAGCTGATCTTTGAAATATTCTGTGCAACTATTGAACCTCTTCATTTCTTCTATTTGCTTTAGCATCTCTATGCTGGAGAGTAAGTTTCAGTGTCTCTTCTGACATCCATATTGACCTTTTCCTTTTTTCTTGTCTTCTTATTGACTTTTTGCTTTCTTCTTGTATGATGTTCTTGATGTCATCCCACGACATCATTGCTGATGTCCAATGGATCTTGACTGATAGCAGAGAATATCAGAAAGATGTTTATCTATGCTTTATTAACTATGCAAAGGCTTTCGATTGTGTACATCATGATAAGTTTTGGGCAGCATTGTGAAGTATGAGTATTCCAGAACACTTAATTGTGCTCATGAGGAATCTGTTCCTGGACCAAGAAGCAGTTGTTCGAACAGAACATGGGAACACTGAATGTTTTAAAATTTAAAAAGGTGTGCGACAAGGTTGTATTCTTTCACCATATTTATTCAACCTGTATGCGAAAAGCTGGGTTATATGAAGAAAAATATGGCATCAAGATTGGAGGAAGACTAATTAACAACCTGTGATATGCAGATGATACAACCTTGCTTACTGAAAGTGAAGAAGACTTAAAATATTTACTGATGAAGATCAAAGAACACAGCCTTTCGGTATGGATTACATCTCAATGTCAAGAAAACAAAAATCCTCACCACTGGACCAATAAACAACATTCTTATCAACAGAGAAAAGATGGAAGTTGTCAAGGACTTCATTCTTCTTGGATCAACTATCAACCCTCAAGGAAGCAGCAGTCAAGAAATCAAACGACGTATTAACATTAGACAAATCTGCTGCACAGGAACTTTTTAAAGTGTTGAGGAGCCAAGATGTGAGCTTGAGGACTAAGGTGCGCCTGACCCAAGCCATGGTATTTTCAATAACCTCATATGCATGCAAAAGCTAGACAGTGAATAAGGAAGACCGTAGAAGAAAGAATGGATGCTTTTGAGTTATGGTGTGGGAGGAGAATGTTGAAAGTGCTATGGGCTGCCAAAAGAATCAATAGATCCATTTTGGAAGAAATGCAGCCAGAGTGATCTTTGGAGGCCAAGATGGCCAAACTTCGTCTCTCATACTTAAGACATATTGTCAGGAGGGACCAGTAGCTGGAGAAGGATATTATGTTTGGTAAGGTGGAGGGTCAGGAAAGAGAGGAAGACCCCTAACGAGATGGATTGGCCAAGTGACAGCATTGATGGACTCGAGTGGCAACAGTAGTGAGATTGGCCCAGGATCGGGCAGTGTTTTGTTCTGCTGTGCATAAAGTTGCTGTGAGTCGGTACCAACTCAATGGCACCTAACAGCAGCAATATATATATATACACTCATATATATAATTTTGAGTTTTGTTATAGATATTTTTTTGCCAACCTGTATAGGACCTTCTAATGTGATCCCTTTCAGATCCCGGCACCATCTAGTTATTCCGGTCTCAGAGTCATGGAGACTGATGTTCACATGTTCCAACTTCATTTCTCATCTTAGGTGGCCGATCATGAGCTTTTAAGATCCTAGATGCTTACTTACCAGTGCAGGCTGTAAAACATTGTCTATGTTATGCCAGTTGACCGTGGTGTCCCCTAAGACTATGAGGCTGAGCCCCTAGGCCCAGCAACTCACTGCATTAAGATGGTTGATAATATCTAAGAAATTTTCATCACTTTGCCTGCTGTATGCTCTATCCATACGTGTATTTGCAACAAAGATGAACATTCATGTACAAATACCATTTCAAAGCCTTTTATATAATTTGTTTTTATCAGGAATGATAAAATGATATGGATTTTGTTATAGGGTCCTTTTAACTCTTCCTTCCAGGTCTCTAGTTTGGTCAGAAACTACTGACATCTATATAGTAGATGACCTCCTAGCAAGCTGTTGCCTCCCTGGGACTCTTGAGTCTCAAAACTCTAAAATAGTGTCCTTACCATGTCATAACTGCCAAGAATATAATACCGCAGAGAAACATCTTTAGCTTGTAACCAAGTGAAATTTTGATTAAAGTAAAAACTGATTGTCATCAAGTCAGTTCTAACTCATAGCAACCTTATAGGGAAGAGTAGAACTGCCCCATAGAGTTCCCAAGGCTGTAATTTTCCCCCCTAAATTTTATTTAATTTATTGTTGAGAAGACACAGTTTCCATATGTAAAGTTCAGTGACATTGATTACATTCTTTCAGTTGTGCAACCATTCTTAACCTTATCTTCTGAGTCGTTCCTTACTTATTAACATAAACTCACATAAACTCACTATCTATTAAGGTCCCTGTATAATCATTCGAATAGCTGTTGTCAGTTTAATCCCAGATAGATAGTTCTTGAAACAGCATAATGCCCAAGGCAGACCATTTTACTAATTAAGCTAAACATTGTCAGATAGCACCTAAATATTGAATATTGAAGCATGATAAAAAAAACAAAAAAAAAACACCAGAAGAATATTGCCAGATAATGAGTCCTGGTGTGACACCGTCAGTTAATGCACTGGACTGCAAAGTCAGTTTGATCTGAAGGGTTGGCAGTGCAGGCTCACCAGCCACTCCTCAGAAACCCTATACAGGGTCGCTATGAGTCAGAACCAACTTGACGCATTTTAACAACAACAACCTTGTCATATAATGCTGCAAGATGAGACCCTCAGTTTGGGAGGCAGTCAGAATATTCAAAATAGAGTTGATCATGATGACACAAACGGCTCTTCAGCTGCTGTTGGGGCATGACTCAATTTGAGGAGAAACAGCTGCAAACATCCATTAATAATTGGAATATGGAATGTACAAAGTATGAATCTAGGAAAATTGGAAGTTGTCAAAAATGAAATGAAGTGCATAAACATCAATATCCTAAGCACTAGTAAGCTGAAATATGATCTTGAACATATTCACCCTGAATTTAGAGATCATCTGAAGATTTGACGAATTAAATTTGACTAATGACTGAAGACCAGAAGAGTTGTGAGATGACATCAAGAACCTAGAGGAGGAAAGAAAACAGTCATTAAGAAGGCAAGAAAGAAAGCAAAGACCAAAATGGATGTCAGAAGAGACTCTGAAACTTGCTCTCCAGAGTAGAGCTTCTAAAGCAAATGGATAAATAAAAGAGCTGAACAGAAAATTTCAAAGGACAGCTTGAGAAGATAAAGTGAAATATTTTAATGAAATATGCACAGATCTGTAGTTACAAAACCAAAAGGGAAGAACACACTCAGCATTTCTCAAGGTGAAAAAACTGAAGAAAAATTCAAGCCTCAACTTGTAATACCAAAGAATTCTTTGGGGAAAATATTGAATGATGAAGAAAGCATCAAAAGAAGATGGAAGGAATACACAGAGTCACTGTACCAAAAAGAAATGGTCAGTATTCAACCGATGCAAGAGGCAGCATGTGATCAAGAGCCAATAGTATTGAAGGAAGAAGTCCAAACTCCACTGAAGGCATTAACAAGGCTCCAGGAATTGATGGACTACAAACTGAAATATCTCAACAAACTCATGCAACATTGGAGGCACTTACTCATTTTATGACAAGAAATTTGGAATCCTGTCCAACGAATTAGGAAAGATCCATGTTTGTGCCCATTCCAAAGAGAAATGACCCAATGGAATGTGGAAATCATCGGAGAATATCATTAATAACACACACAAAGAAAATTTTACTCAAGATAATTCAAAAACAGCTGTAATATTACATTGACAGGGAACTGTCAGAGGTTGAAGCCGGATTCAGAAGGCGAGGATGTGGAATGAGGGATATCACTGCTAGTGTCAAATAGTTGTTGATAACTTCATTTTGCTTGGACCCACCAAGCGCATGGAAGCAGCAGTAAAGAAATAAAACAACATATTGCATTAGGCAAATCTGCTGTACAAAACCTCTTTAAAGGGTTCAAAAACAAAGATGTGAGTTTCAGGACTAAATGTGCTATGGTATTTTCAGTAGCTTTATATACAGGTGAATAAGGAAGATCATAGAAGAATTGATGCATTTGAGTTATGGTGTTGAAGAAGAATATTAAAAGTACCATGCACTGTTAGAAGAACAAACAAATCTGTGTTTGAAAAAGTACAACCAGTCAGGATAGTGAGACTTTGTCTCTTATACTTAGGGAAGAACAGTAAATCAGATGCTCTGCCAATAAAACAATTTGTTGTTCGTGCCACGGAGCCAGTTCTGATTCTTAGCAACCCTATATAGAATTTTCAAGACTAAAACTTTACTGAAGCAGAAATCCTCATCTTTCGTCCCCACAGTGTGATATATGAGCTCAAACCGCCAACCTTGTGGTTTTCAATCTAATACTTATTACAGAGCCACGGTGCTCCCCAGATGACAAATAGGATGTAGAATTATAGTCATTTATTTCCACAGCACTTGACTATAAGATCAGTTTGAACTGCAAGGTCAGCAATTCAAACTCACCAGCTGTACCTCAGAAAAGCTCTACAGGGTCGGAACCAACTTAACAAGTACAACATTTCCACAACAGCCTAGTCTAACCAAATCAGGTAAAAGATATGGAAGCAGGAACCAGAAGTTCCTTCTATTGAAGATATGGATCAGCCCTTTTTTAAGCTCTCCCCCCCTCTCCCCGCTATATATGGAATACTTGAGGAGCTTTTTTTCACTTTGAATAAGATATTTTTATAAATAAATCAGGATCGATCGCTTTTTAGCTTATTTTTTCAACTTTATTTCTACATGCTTGAAAAGTTTTGTATTTTTTTCATAAAATGAATTGAGCTTAAGTATGCAAAACTTCATTAAATAAGGAAGTGATTCTCTAGCAAATGATATCTGTTTCATAGGTTGTAGGTCATAAAGAAGGTCTGGATGTTATGGAGAGAGCTGATCCTTTATTCCTTCTTATTGGACTTCCTACTATTCCCGTCATGCTGATATTAGGCAAGATGATTCGCTGGGAAGATTACGTGCTCCGATTATGGCGCAAATACTCTAATAAACTGCAAATTTTGAACAGTATATTTCCAGGTAAAGTCATAAATTGTGGTTGTAATGTACATGCCAAATGAATCTTGCTTTTTAGAAATAGTTAAATTAGTAAAGTTTTCATTTTAAATACTAATTTAGCTATTCTGATTTATTAGCACTGATACATTGCTTCCCTTCTCCCCCACCCCCACCCCCAGGAATTGGTTGTCCTGTTCCTCGAATTCCAGCTGAGGCTAATCCTTTAGCAGATCATGTCTCTGCTACACGAATTTTGTGTGGAGCCCTCGTTTTTCCTACTATTGCGACGATAGTAGGCAAGCTGATGTTCAGTAGTGTTAACTCTAATTTGCAAAGGACAATCTTGGTAAGATGGCTTAAATATTACTTTTTCAAATGATTATATAAAAGAGAATGGATTGTGTATGAAATAAAAAACAAACAATGGTACTATATACAGTCTGTGACTGCTGTGCCTTAAGCCTCTATTTGACCCCACTGCCATCCAATAGCTTCAGTGTGAATTTAGAGGGGAGGAGCTACTGCCAAAAGTCTGGCCATCTGGAACTACCCTGGGAGAGACTTCTTCCCTGGAATGTGCATAAATTACCATATTCATCCCTTTGCCCACAAAATCATGATAAAGAGCTTCTGTTCTAGAATCAGGCTGCCTGGTTCAAATCCCATCTCAAATATTGCCTTGCTGTGTGATACGTAAAGCACATTTCCTGAGCATAGGGATGGTAGCGGTACCTACCTCAGGATAATTGCAAGGATTAAATGAGGTAATTTATTTGAAGTATTGACACATAGTAAACCAGTGTTTAGTAAGCACTCATGTTGTCTGCTATCATTAGTAGTATTCCCACTTCACCTTTGCATATTGTACCACAGCTTTTGTCCTACTATGTAAGAGTACATGTAGTTGCATGTAAAGAATGTTGACATGACAAATGTATTGTTACACACAGATTTACCACAATCAACAAAATAATAAGTAGGGGATAAAAAACCCTAGTAGATATGGAGCTATATGGAAGGAAGATGACTCAGCTAGGATATTAAAGAAGGTTTCTTTGTCTGATGTTAACCTGTAGAGTCTTTCTTGCTCCCTCTCTCACCCACTAGTAGAAAAGAGAACTGATTTAAAGTTATCTGAATTAGTTTTGTATCTTTTATAATCTAAGTAAAATTCTTTTTACCGTTATGCTTCTCTAAACCTGAATTATAAAACGTTTATTTTTCTTTTTATTTTAGGGTGGAATTGCTTTTGTTGCCATTAAAGGAGCATTTAAGGTTTACTTCAAACAGCAGCAATATTTACGTCAGGCACACCGCAAAATTCTAAATTATCCAGAGCAAGAAGAAGCATAAAACTGACTTCTAGTTGTTCTTCAGTCCTCTCATCTGTATGAGTCTGTTGTGTTGTTCTGATTCCATCATTAATGCACAGTAGTGGAGACTTGTGATAAGCTGCTGCTCCTATATTTTTAAGAAGTATAATAAAACACTTAGGGCAGGGGGAATCCTCTCAGTAATCACGGAGCCTAAGGATGTGATTTGTTCTCATTGTTTTACTGCTTTCATGGCAGTCATCTGAACCATTGTCTTAGCATGGGAAACCTGGGATTTGTTTATGTTTTCTCCAGGCAGAAATGTCAAAATCAGACTGTGCAAATACTAAAAAATGCACACACTGTTTTATTCAAAGTCCCTTTTTGTACAAGTTTAGTTCAGTGTTTTCTTAGAATCAGCAACTCAGTGAAGATACTATGAGGATTTTTTCTCACTGGCACAATTTGACTACCTGCTAAACAGGACCATATATTAATATGAGGAAATAGAAATTAAATTAGCTATAAATAAATAATAAACCAAAAATGTATGTAAACATTGAGATGATTATCTGAACAATGAGGTTTTGTCGTGTTTTTCTTAACCCGTGTGATGTTGGGTAAAAATTCACAGGGCTTCCAGATTGTTCACTTTTTCATTGTTAAATTCTATTTCTATTATGTTGGCATCTCATAATTCAAAATGTCTTTTTGACCATGTAGTCTCAGTTACAGTGTATGTATGTATCAGTCAGTCATCAGGTCCTCCCAGCATTGGAGTAAGGTTTTTCCATCCATATTTCTAGAAATTAAAGCTGTCCGTCAGTTTATAGTAGCGTGAGCACAGAGACAGGTTTGCAAAAAAAATCAATAAAGTTATTTTACGCTCCTCTTTCATTGATTCAGTTATTCAAATATTTGCTGAGCACCTCTCATTTGCCCAAACATTGTGCTAAGTGCTGTGGGATACAGTGGTGACTAAGACCCATGATGGCCCCTGCTCTTTAGAGTTTACTGTCTACTTTCAGTAGATAGAAAATCAGCTGTGAGTGGGCCCTGGTGAAGCCTGGAACTCTTTGTTTTTATACCAGTCAGTAAGGAGATAATTTTGAAAACAGGAAGTCTTAAGTAAATATTGAGGTCATTGTTTGAGGCTTAAGCCAATTTATCATAGAAAACCAATGCGAATATTTCTAAAATTTGATTACTTGTCATATTGATGAGGTTAGCACCTTAATAATCACTGTTTAATTCGTTTCATATACATTTTTCAAAAGCAAGTATTTATTTTAATCCATTTTCTATAAAGAGTGGCCATTTTAATATTGTTTAGCAATCTGAATGGTCTTGCAGTTATTTTCATTAATTAAAATTAAAATTTTAAAAGATAGTTCCTGAACCTTATTTATTTTCTTGTTCACAGTATCTAATTAATGCATGACAATAATAAATGTTTTCCCTTACTTATCAGTGGCCATTTCTCTTTAAGAATGTAGCAAATATATACTGAGCTATGTTATATTAGACTGCAATAATGTATGTTAATTTTAGTAATTAAACATCAGTACCACTCTGTAGTATGAATGTCTTAATGTTGAGTTATATGGGGTTTATGTGAACAGCTGTTGAACACTCAAGGTTGTAATTATTTGGGGAGGGAGTAAGATTAGAATGACAGCCTTTTTAAAAACACTGCTACAGTTCTAAAGGGGAAATATAAATCTATGATTATACGTAAAAATATATTAGATTATGTAACTTTAATTATAAAATGTATTCACTTTTCATCTTCAATATGAAAAGATAATAACTAGAAACTTACTGCATAGTTTTATTGTATACAACAGCTTGAGGCAGCCTTTACTAAAGTTAATACAAGAACACAGTTCTCCTCTTAGTACTTTAATGCCCAAGATGGGAGAGTAGTTATTTGGTTTGATTGGTATCAAGACTCGCAAAGGTCAGGGGAACAGCAACTCTAATACTTAGGAAGAGGTTTTCTAGGGCTTTGGGGAGGGAACTGTAAGTCTTTGGGGACCACAGTTCTCTCTGATCCTGAAGACTTTTAAACCTCCAGAGCTCAAGAAATGCCACTTGTGTGAGTCTCTGCAGGAAGTAGGCCTGTGCCAACAAGAAAAACATAAGGACTGACAAAGTTGGACAGACCTGGGTTCAAATCCTAACTCTGCTTTAACAACTCTATACCTTGGCCAAGTGACTTTTTCTCAGCTACAGTTTTCTTCATCTCAGAAATGCAAATAATACTTCTAGCATTGTTTCCAGAATTAACTGAAATCAAAGGAACAGAGGCACTTTAGGTTTAAAATATCCCCAGTAGAACATTAGTTGTTTCTTAATTGCTCGATAGTACCTTAAAAGCATGTTCCCACTCATAAGAAAAAGAGTGAACATGTCAAAGAAAGATCTTAGGGACAAATTAAAGGAATGATGTAGATTTGGGGAATGGGTAGATGTGTTTTCTAGTTTATTTTAATGTTGCTTTACTGTGTTATTTCTGGAAACTAATGTTTTAAATCTCTTTTTAAAATATAATGACAACTAGTAAAATTCTATTCTTTGCATAAATTAACTTAATCTCCATTCAAAGTGGCTGAAAATATTGTTCATTATATGATTATCAAATGACTGTGACAAGAATATAAAATTAAACTCAGTGACTTAATTAGTCACTTCTTTGCTAACTGTGCTGTAATTTTTTAAAATGTCTTGTTTTTAATATACCAGATTATCTCAATTACTGGCTGGATTAGGTTGAATAAAGGCTTTATGTTCTTTAGGTATACTTTTGTCTGTTGAACAACTATCTAAATCTAATTGGTTAATTCTGTATCTACATGTTGTTGTTGTTAAGTGCCGTCAAGTTGGTTCCGACCCATAGCAACCCTGTGTAGGGTTCCCAAGGAGCAGCTGGTGAGCTTGAACTGCTGATGTTGCAGTTCAAACTGCTTTGCAGTCTGGCTCATTAAACCACAGCACCACAGTTCTCTTTCAAGAATAGTTATTGAGTTATTAGGGATACTTTTCTTTTAGTAAAAATAATCTCTAAAGAATTTTCTTAATTTGGTAAGCAGGCTGACCTAAATTTCTAGTATGTTTTCATGATTAAAATATGTCTCATCTCACCCACCCTCAACAATGACAGGTTCCATTCTGAGGACTCCTTCGGAACTTAGTTCTGACATAAGTTGAATACAGCAAGATTCTGTTTTTTACTATACTGAAACCAAGCATCAGCTTGGCCTCTTTGTGTATATAGGCTCATTGTGGCATTCTTTTCCAAAACAAGCCTGTTTCATCCACATTGAAAATATTATATCATTAGTAATATATACTGCATATACCATTGAAACCATGATTTGCTGTTGTTCGAAATATGATTGTAACTGCAGTTCATCCTAACGTCATAAATTGGAGGTTACCTGTAGTTCCAGTTCTAAGATGTATTGAGTGATTTTTTGTGTGTAGCACATAAAAAAAGACACACAAAAGATTGCTTACCTCGAGGTACTAGCAACTTAATTTAAGAAGTAGAGGATTAGGATATTCTAGAAGGAGTAAATCAAATAAAGGCCCTACCATCCATGGACATTTGAGTTTTTCTAGGTCCTCATCTGAGAGGAGAAACATTGTTGATTTGAACATTCCTGGATGCATACTGAAACTCAAATACTTACTTGTAAGGCAAGTTACTTCTCTTACAGGCCCTCTGTTTCCTCATCAATAAAAGGATTACAAAAATGTATCTCTGGGGTCATTATGAGGAATAAGTGAGGTAAATATTCCTAGAACAACATCTGATATACAGATAAACCCAGTAAATCTGTTTCAGTTTAAGTGCATGTATAGTTGAAGTTTTTGCCCATATTCTTTGGTCCAAAGGGATCTCAAGGTCTCATCTTCTCTGCTGCCGCCCACACACTTCCATTATAAATGGTGGAGTAGTGTATTGTTTTCCTTGCCTTCATGCATGTAAATCTGAGGAACAGCACAGGAAGAAGCTTAGGATTTGCTATAGAAACCTTGGGCAAGTAACAGTGGCTAGGCTTTCTGGTCAACCCCAGGTGAATTTTATAAGTATTGGCCATGCTGAAATTACTGTATATCAACAACAGATAATACTTTAACAGATGTTTGTTGAGCATCTATACCGGCAATGTGCTAAGTTCTGGAATAAATGGTGATTAAGTCTGCTCTGGATATTTTGAGTCTTAAAAGTGCAAAACAGACTTTAATCCTTATTCCTGTGTTGTCACCACAAGAATGTAAAGTGGGGACTTTACTTTTGTTTATTACTTGATTGAAATAGGATCTCGTTCATGATGATGTTAAGTGCTATTGAGCCGGTTCCGACTCATAGCGACCCTGCACAGGGTTTCCAAGAAGTGGCTGCTGAGCCTGAATCAATGACCCTACAGTTAGTTCAAAGCACCCTTGTGGTCCAGAGTGTATTCTGCAGCACCACACCAGGCCTCCATATGCTGAATTGTACATATAGTAGGTATGCATATGCAATCTTTTCATAGCTAGGCCTGGAAATCAGTTTCAAAATTAATGGTTATTTTTTCATTAAAGTAACAGTAATATTTGTAAACTTTCCCTAAACCTTATTCCCCTAAAGTGGTAGATCCTCAACTATTTCAGCAGCTTCTCCTGGCATCCATCTCCAGGTTTCTAAATAATAGCCAGCCATTTCTTGCTTCATTAATTGACTTCCCACCAGGACTCCAATGGAACCATAAAAAAAATAAGCTATAGAAAAGAAATGAAGTACTGATACATGAATGAAACTTGAAAACAATTGATGAAAGAAGCCAGGCACAATAGGTCACAGATTGTAATTTTTTTTTAAATGAAAGATACAGAATAAGTCAATAGACAAAGTAGTTTGTGGTTGCCGAGAGCTGGTGGGAAGGAAGACAGGTAGGTGATGCTAATAGACAAGAGGTTTCTTTGTAATAATAAAATTGTGCAGTCATATAGTGATGTTTGCACAATTCTGAATAAACTAAATCCATTAAATTGGACTCATAAAAGTTTGAGTTAGGACAGCCATTCCAAAATATGCCAACCTGCATATACCATAGTAAAGAGCTTAAACTTTGTTCTGAAAGCTGTGTTCAGCTGTTTCTAAAATACTCCTGAACATTGGCTGGTAATAGATTTATGAAGATTAACAGCATCCAATGACCAATGTAGTGTACTTTAAACCCTTGGAAGATGCGTCTTTCTCTAGCTTGACATGTGCAAGAAGCAGTCTGTAAGAGGAACTGAGAGATAATACAAACCTCGTCAGTACACATTTATCAGTATATTGACAATTATCTGGATAAGCTGTATACAAAAAATA